CAAGTGCAGAAAGAGCCTTCTCCCCAAGCTTGCCCTGGCTGCCTAGCATCTTCTCAAGTGAGTTCCTGTGGTTCCCTCTGGGTCTGACCTGTGGACAACAGCGAAAGGGAGAGTGGTTTGTCTTTGTGTTCCAGGGGTCTGGGAGCCCTTTGGGTGGGGCCACATAGTTCAGGGGCTCAGCATCGTACCAGGTCTCTTACTGGCCTTTCTTTCAGAGGCTGAACTCAGGTGTTAGTTTTTTTCTTGGTCACTGGTGGCCAAGCCCCCATTTTCTGACCCCACAGTTGTGGGGTCTCTGGCTAACTATTACAATGGCCTCCTAATTGCTCTCCTACCCCAAGCCTCTCTCCACTCCAGTCTACCCTACAAGTTGCTGCCAAAGTGGTTTTCCTGAAGGGGAGGTCTGACCACGTTACTCCCCTACCCTGTCATCATTGCAACTCCCTGTTGTCAGGAGCACGAATATAAATTCCTCAGACAATAGAAGCCCTTCACAGCCTGGCCCCAAGCTATTTACTAATCTTATTTGACATGATTTCCCTCCTCTTGGCCTGTCCTCTCCACCCCCTGACCCTCAGTCACCCTGGCCTCGTCCATATTTGTGACAGTTTGTGAAGCTCCTCCATCTCTCATCTCCCTTCCTTTGCCATGGCTGGAAGCACTTCCTCCTCATCACTGCCTAATAGAATCCCTCTGGTCCTTTGTGACTTACTCAAGCACCGGAGTCCTCTTTCCCAAATTCCCAGTACACCTTAGCTTAAAAGGGCCAAGGTCTCCCACTGCATCCTGGGCCATCTCCAGTCGCCCTGATCGCTCTCTGGCCCCCGGACCCAGATGGCTCCAGAGGAGAAAGGGAGGCTGATGACCTTGCACAGGCCTCCCTCACTCAAATCCAATTCCTTTGCAAGTCATGGCACCACCCTCCTCATGTCATGGTCTTCAATAACAAAGGACAAACCACACAACCCGTCAACAGTGACTTTTACTTATTTCTTTTCATGGATTCTCTTTGTATTTATTCCTGGTATCCGTAGATGTGCTCTTGTCTTCCCCATCAGAATGTAAGTTTTTTGAGAGCAGGACTTGTTTCATGCTTTAGTCCCTAGCACCTAGGACAGCTCCTGGCACAGAGTAGGTACTTTGTTGTTCAGTTGGTTCAGTTGTGTCTGACTCTTTGTGACCCCACTCAGAGTTTTCTTGGCAGACACACCAGAGGGCTTTGCCACTTCCTTCTCCAGCTCATTTCACAGCTGAGAAAACTGAGACAAACAGGGTTAAGTGACATGCCCAGGGTCACACAGCTGCTAAGTGTTGAGGCCAGATCTGAACTCAGGAAGATGAGTCTGTACCACCTAGCTGCCCAGAGTAAGGTACTTAATTAACTTTTGATTCATTGATCAATTCCTCCACATCTGAGTTACCCTCTTGGTATTGTGGTGCCTTTGGAATTGAGACCCTGCCTTGTTCCCTCCTCCTGGGAACCTCAGGTCTCCTGTCCCCCAGGCTTGACCCTCACTGCCTGCCATCAGGCCTTCTTGAGGGCAGCACCCCCTTAGGGCCTGCTGCCAGCCTGCCTGTGCTGTACACACTGTCTATGGGCTCTGCTGGGATAATTTAAAATAGAAATTAGTGAGACTAGAACATACCGTTCTTTAGGAAGAAACACAAATTGTCAGTAACTACCAGAAAGACACTCCACATTCTTCCCAAATCCGAGAGATGCCAATTCAAACAATTCTGTGTCACTTTATCCCTATCATGGTTGGCAAAGAGAGTTAAAAACAGTTTAAGAAATCAGCTTTGGCAGGGCCATAGTCAGAGTCAGTCAATTATACCAGCATTTATTAAGTGCCTACTGTATACCAGATACCATTTTTAGAGGTTGGTGATACAAAGATGAAAAACAAATGACCCAGTCCCTGGCCTCAAGGGGCTTCCATTCGTGTGTGTGTGTGTGTGTGCGTGTGTGTGTATGTTTCTGTGAAATGAACAGAGAGAGGTAGCCACAAGGCAGAGTGGCAGGAGCTAAGTGCTTGAGGACAGTTTTGGGTGGGGGAGAGTCCTAACCAGGGCAGACGTGAAGATCCCGTGGAGGTGGCAGCCCCCAAGCTGGTCCTCAAAGGCTGGAGGGTGAATTGCACTTGAAGAGGAGCTGGAGCCATATGGGGCTGTTGGAGCCTGAGGGAGCTGTCGGGGCAGGCTGGGTTTGCCTTTTACTGGAGGAGTAATTAGGGAACCGCTGATGGTTCTTGTGTCTCAGGACTATCATTTTGTCATTTCTGTGGAAGATGGATTGGAGTGAGGAGAGACCAAGGAGATGAGAGCGATACTCTATTGCTACCACTAGGTGGCGCCATAGCGCACAGAGCCCTGAGCCTGGAGGCAGGAAAACTTTTTTTTGGTTTGTTTTCAGGCTAAGCAATGGGGTTAAATGACTTGCACAGGGTCACACAGCTAGTGTTATGTGTCTGAATTTGAACTCAGGTCCTCCTGAATCCAGGGCTGGTGCTCTACCTACTGTGCCACCTAGCTGCCCCAAGACTCCTCTTCTTGAGTTCAAATCCAGCCTCAGACTCTTACTAGTTGTGTGACCCTGGGCAAGTCACTTCACCCTGTTTGCCTCAGCTTCCTCATCTGCAAAATGAACTAGAGAAGGAAACGGCGAACCACTCCACTGTATTTGCCAAAAAAACGCCCAATGTGGTCAGAATGAGGTGGACGTGACAGAACAAGAGTGATGAGAGCTTGCGCTGGCCAGGCTGCTGGGCGAGCCTAGTGAGAAGGGAGTCAGTGTGAGGGATATAGGGGAGGCAGAATAGATAAGGCTTAATACCTGTTTGGGTACGTGGAACTGAGAATTGGTGCCATCTATCTGGGGACACGAAATAATAGGAGAATATATGCATTCTAAGAGCTATGAAAGTGGCCATTCACTTTTCTCCCCAGACATTTTCTTTCTTTTTTTCCCTTTTTTTCTCTTTCTTTTTTTATGTTTTTTTTCCATATGCTTTTGAGTTGAAAATTTTCCTCCCCCTTCCTCCCCCCCACCCTCCCCAAGACGGCGCACAGTCTGATATAGGCTTTACATTTACATACCCATTAAACATATTTTCACATTAGTGAAGTTGTAAGTAAAAATTAAAACCAATAGGAGGAACCATCAGAAAAATGAAACAAAACTCAACAGAAGGTAAAAATAAGTGATAGTGATTCGACTTCCATAGTTCTTTCTTTGGATGTGGACAGCATTTTCCATCCCGAGGCCTCTGGAGATGTCTTAGATCCTCGTAATGCTGAGAAGGGTTCGGTTTAACAATCTTAGTCATTGCATAACGCGACTGTTATTGTGTACAGAGTCCTCTTGGTTCTGCTCACTTCACACAGCATCAGACCATATAAGCCCCAGACATTTTCTTATGAGCCACTCTACCTCTTTCCCTCTCCCCCCTCCAGTTCTGGAAATGGAATCAGAACATTGGTACTCAGAAGGGTATGCACATCTCCTCCCATGTTCGTCCCTTCACTTTCCAAACCAAAACATGCCCTCCTCCCTTGCCAGCACTCTGCGTTATGTGCTGTCTCCCCTATCTGAAGGGAAGCTTCTTGAGGGTAGAGAGGTTTTTTGAAATATACTTGTATGTCCACCTTGTTCTGCCCCTTCCCTTCCCCAGGTAGACTAGAAGGATCTTTTTGTGCACGAGTCTTGTGGATAGAATGGAAGCTCTTGGAGGGCAGAGGTGATTTATTTTTTGTCTAGTGCAGTGTGCACACCTAGGAGCCATTTAATAAACGTCTGCTGATTCACTGGTTGATTCTTGAGAAGAGGGATGTTTTCATTTTTGTATCCCTCCTGCCTTGCCCTCTGCTTTACACATTTTGGTCTGGACTCAGGGATTTCCAGGTGTGGAAACTCCTCCACAGGTGCACATGGACAACTTGTCTGAAGTTTAGAGAGCTGCCTGAGTTTGCCATTTTCTTGTGATCTCAGGGTCAGAGATTTAGAGTTGGAAGGGAATCAAGAACCTTCTGTGTGCCAGGCATTGTTCTAGGTACCCAGGATACACAGGCAGATAGGAAGCAGCCTTTGCTCCTTGGCAGTTACATTCTATGGGGGGTAACAATCCAGGCACATATTAGTCTATTCTCAAAGTATATCCAGTGTAAATCCCCGGTCATTTGGAGGCTTGGAGGGAGGCGCTGCATGCTGGGGGGCGGGGTACCGGGACTCCAAGGCCAGGCCTCTCTGCCCTCCCCGGGCTGCCTCTCTCTACTGAGTGTGCCCTATCTGTCCTAGACAGAGATTGCCACAGCCCAGGGGCTCCCAATCATTTTTTGCACTGGGATCCTTTTAATATTCAGTAGTCTGTTGCATGCATTATAATGGCAGGAAATGCCAAATGTCAGTTAGAGGCTAGTGAGATGAAAGACGTAGTCTCTCCCCCTCCCCCGCCCAATCCAAGGTCACAGACCCCCTGGAATCTATCAGGTCAAGAGCCTGGTCCTAGGGTCTCACCAGTAAAAGATGGGCAGCGACCCTGGCACCCCCTCCTTCTCTGTTCCTCTCAAGCTCGTTGGTTCAACCACCAAACAAATGTAACCAAGGACGGGACGGATGAGGGACATTCCTGGGGTCTGGGACTTTTGGGGGGCCTTTTTGTACTTCCAGCCATATGGAAGAGGGGTGCCTGCGGCTGGAAAGCGCTTGGGGAGGGAAAAGGCCTGTCCTAGGAGGGTCGAGGGAGGCTTCCCTGGGCCAGAACTCAGGTCCCGCCCCAGGTACTGATCCGACAGGGCCCCCCCCCCCCCCCGCCTCCCCTCCCCAGACCTTATCTCCCCCTGGGGTCAAGCCGGCAGGGCGCGGCCATGGCCCGCAGGGGGCACTGTGGCTCAGGCTTTGTGGCTGGACTGGCCGGCCGGGCGGCCCCCCCCCCCTCAGCCCCTGCGGGGGGTGGGGTGGGGGGGCGGGAGGCGGGAGGTGGGAGGCTCGTAGGCAGGCAGCGGCCAGAGAGCTCCGGAGAGCGCAGAGTCCGCTGTCGAGCTCCACTGGGGAGATCGCCGACCTGGGCTGGGGCTTCCTCTTCAGGACCGAGGGACACTCCTACCTGCGCCCCCCTCCCCAGAACCCTGCCGCCCACCCCCACGGCTCAGGGGGCGCTCGTGGGCGCGCGCGCGCGCGCACACACACACACACACACACACACACACGCGCGCGCGCGCGCGCGCGCTCATACATACATACATACCCACACACAGGCACACACGCGCTCACACTCAGCCATAGCCGCACGCCTAGAGCGATCACCCCTTCAGCCCCAGCCTAGACCAGCCCGGCCCAGCCCGGTCCGAAGCGGGTGCGTGCACCGGGTGGCCGCCCGGCAGGACAGACGCGGGGAAGGAGGCTTACTCGCCTGGGATACCCGGGCTCTGGCTCGGGAGCGGGGGCTGCGGGATGCGGGCTGGCGTCCGCTGGAGCCCCGGGGGTCTACGGGCACTGCTCGCGGCGCTCGGGGCGGCGGCGCTGGCGCTCGGGGCGTCCGCCTATAATCTGGCCCCGGAGCACGCCGTGCTCTACCAGGGGCCCGCCGGCTCCTTCTTCGGCTACGCGGTGCTGGAGCACTTCTACGACAACACCCGCTGGTGAGTACCCCCAGATCCCTGCACCCCCCGAGTCCCGATCGGGCTGCGGGCCGCCTTCCCTCCATCCTACGGACCGCCCCATCCTGCCCCAGGAGCCTTCGCCCCGCAGCTGCCCCCCATTCCGTAGCCTGCCCCATAGTGCCCCCACCGTCCCTCACCTCGAAGCCCCCCATCACACCCCAGCCACCTCCCGCCTCCAAGCCAGGCTCAGTCCCAGCCTCCGAGAGGAGCCTGAAGCCACGGCAGGGCGGCCTCCCCTGGCTGGAGATTTAAATGTTTGCACTCCCCAGCCCCTGTTCTCCCTTCCGAACCGGTCTGGAGAGGGGCTGGTACGGATCTGCGAGGGTGGGACTGAGGGCGGTAGGGCGCTGGAGGCCCCTGGCCCGGGACGGAGTTCCGTTCTCGCCAGTTGATGCGGGCCTGGGAGGAGGCTGACAGCCCCCATTTCCCTACTAGGCCCGGCAAGCAAACTTTCCGGGAAAGGCGGCCCCCCTCCCTTCCTGTCCCCCCTTAGTGCCAAAGCTGGCCAGAGTCCTTCCCCCCGGCCAGGGCCAGGGACTTGATGGTAGAGAGACAGCCCCAGCGCAGGGAAAACTTCCTAAGAGTCAGCCCACTACACCAGCGGAAGGGCAGCCTGGAGGTGGGGAGGCCGGGGCTCTCTCTCCCTGAGAGGATCAGCCGGCAGAGGCTGACAGAGCCCCTGGCCCTAGATCTGGAGCTGGAAGTCAAAGGCTCCTTATCTGAGGGAGGAGGCTTAAGGGAGCTCTCCAGATCAGCGGGGAATTCGGAGGACCCTAGATCGAGAGGGGAGGGACTTTAGACTACATTGAGTCCAGCCCCTTCATTTTACAGAGGGAGAAACTGAGGCCCAGTCAGGTTGAGTGCCTTACCCAGGGTCACACAGCTAGTGTCTCCGGTGGGATTTGAACTGAGATTTTGTAGAGGGGATGCTCCTTCAGGTAGGGGTCAGGCTAGAATGTGTCTGGGGTCCCTTCCCACTCCTATTCCTTCTCATTGTTCTCCCGGTCCTCCCTGGGTGCCTTGTGTTGCTGGGTTGACAGATGTGACCCCTAAAGTCTTTTGGGTTTGTTTCTTGAGCTTGGAGCATCTCCTTCTGTCCTCCTGACTCTCCAAAGAGGCTGACTCCTTTTGTCAGGCGGGGTGATTTGAATCCCAGGCACGGACCAGGTCGGAGCCCACAACCCCTCAAAGACAAGGAAGTCCATCCTGCCAGGGGAGGCCAGCTTGGAGAAAGCCCTGCTGTCTGGAAGGGGCCCTTAAGTCCCAACCTATCACAGCCCTTTGGTGCTGCAGGGAAGGCAGGGCTGCTATCAGGGGCAGAGAGATTAACTAGGCTGAGGCCAGCCAAGGGAGTGGGTGTTTGTGAAGGGTCAGGGGCTTCCCAGAGATCCCAGGGAAGGTAAGGAGGGTCTTGTAGAACCCAGCATCAGGAGAATCATAGCATTTCCACGCTGGACGGGACTTTAGGGCAGAGCCTACTTCTCTGTAGGGGAATGAGCCTGTGAGCCTTCTCCCCAAATCTGGAAGAACATCGGAGACCATGTCCTCATACATCCAGACTGGAGCTTGCTCACCTCTCCAGTCTCCCAGCATTCCAGCCTTTGCTTCAAGGGGAGTGCAGGGTGGGGCAGTAGGTAGCCTGCTGCCTTCTGGGCTGCCCGTTCCACTTTGGGCCTTTCCCAATAGTTAGGAACCTTTTTTTTTTTTTGTGCCAGCTCACCCAGCTGTCTCTTTGGGACTCTCAGCCATTGCTTCTCATTTTCCTGTCTGGACCCAAGCAGAACCAGGCTAGTTCCTCTCTCATGTGACAGATAGTTGGATGAGCCATTTAACTCTTGAAGACTGTCTTCATAACCTCCCTCCCTGGAGCTTTTCTCCTGCAGGCTCAATGTTCTTAGTTGCTCCCACCAGTTTTTTGTGGGATTGGCAGAGTCCAGCCCCCTCACCCTCTGGATCCCCCTTCTCTGGTTCAGAGCTAAATTCATCTGCCAGGTGAGGCCCGACCAGAGCAGAGAACAGCAGAGCCTGGCCTCTCCTTTTTCCTCCTCCTGGCTCCTACGATCCTCTTTGGAACGAGCTGGGAAGGGCAAGGGAAGGGGAGACACTGCGGGCTAACAGTCAGCTGGTGGTCCAGTAACCCTCCCAGCTCTTTCTCATGTGGTCCACTATTAGCTGTACCTTCCTCTCCCCCACTTTGTATGTGTGAAGTTGGGTTTTGACCCCACTTGTAAGACTTTCCATTATGTCTAGTTAAATTTACCTTGCTCTTGTGTGGCACTGGCCTCGCCCAGCAAGTCTCAAAGGGCATCCCTGAGACCCATTCAAGAGGTCTATAAGATCCAAAGTATTTTCATCATAATACTAAGACATGTTAATTTCTAATATAATGAATATTGATAGGTACAACCCACGGAAACGAAAGTTCCCTGAGGAGGATTCCTCAGTCATTTTTAGCAGTCCTGAGACCATAACGTTTGAGACCTGTGGGCCTGGCCTGCTGAGGTATTGCTGGAGTCTGCTCATCAGCACCTGATGATCCCATCCCGTCTGCACCATCTGCAGCTGGGACAGATGTGACTTCCAGGTTCCCATCCAAGTCACTGATACATGGAGAGAAGGGCTGCAGCTGAGACTGTTCCTGGGGACACCTTGGGTCGGGATCCGCATGTGCCCCTCAGGCTCTGCCGACCAGCAGGTGGCCATAAAGGCTGTTTAAAGCCCCACCTGTTGAGTTGCCAAGCCTCCTGAAGGGCAGAGAACCAGGAAGAAGCCCAGCGAAGCAAAGAGCAGCAAACCTGGTTCCTCCTGGACAATCCTGGGCAAGAGGAGACTTGGGAGGCTTCTTGAAGCACTGGCTTCTGCCCTGCAGTCCTTCCTGGTTAGAGTCCAGCAGGGAGGCACCTGGGGCTTTGCCTGCTCCTTCTTTGGGGCCCCTGGAGAGTCCCCCTTTTGGCAGCCAGACCTCTGCGTAGAATAGATAGCATGGCACAGGGGCTGTGTGACTCAGAGTGAGTCACTTAACTCCTCTGAGCCCCATTTTTCTGTAAAATGGGGGTGATAATACCTGTATTCTTCACCTCACAGGGGAGTTGTGAGGATAAAATGCACCTAAAATACTTTGCAAACCTTGAGAGGCCACTTGGAGTCAGAAAGAACAGGGGTCAAATGCCAGCTCTGCCAAATACTGCTCATGTGACCTAGGCCAAGTCCCTTGACCTCTAAGTTCTCCCGGAAGCGCTCTAAGACTCCAAGGAGTGGCAGGAGCCAGCCTGCTTCGGGAGAGAGCGCTTCCTCCTTGGGAGCTCCTCAGCTGAGGCAGCACCTCTGCCCAGGCTTCAGGAGAAACCCACTGGCCTTATTCACCATCATCCCCGGGACAAAGGGATGTGGTCTGAATTGGATGCAGGCTGATAGAACGAGTTGGTTTGGAGAACTGAGGCTTCCAATATTCTTGGGAGAAGAAGGGTTGTGTAGATGGCGAGAGAATTGACAGAGCTGCTGCGTCCTGAGGCAGAAGGCCCGGGCCCAGCGGGACCAATTTCCAGCTCTTCTGTCCAATTCTACACGCCCTGGGCCTCGGCCATGTGCTGGTTGGCTCTGAATGAGGCAGCCTCTGGGTTTGCCCACCCAGCCCATTAGCCTGTTAGGTCCTTTGTCTTCTTCTAATGAGACTGTCTGTCTGTTGCCTAGTCTCTGGTGTGTGTGTGTGTGTGTGTGTGTGTGTGTGTGTGTGTATGTTTATTTGGGCTTTGGATCTGTTAAATGGAAAACAGCACTCAGGTAGGAGACCATTCCTCCATCCTCGAGTGTGGCATGCTATCCTTGACCCAGGCTCCCAAATGGGTGACTCTAGAGGCTGCAGTTGTCCTATGTGTTTGAGAATGAAATAGCAGAGCACCTAGGCATGAAGGGTAGACTAGATAGAGGGCTGGGCTGGGGGTTCAAATCCTGCCTCAGGGCTTTGCTAGCTGTGTGACCTAAATAAAGTACTTCACCCCTTTTAGGCTCAGTTCTTCATCTGTAAAATTGGGGTGATGATAGCAGCAAGGTTGTTAGTCAGTCAGTCAATCAACACACATTTATTAAGTGTCTACTATGTGCCAGGCACTGTGCAAAAGCAGTCCCTGCCCTCAAAGAGCTGCCGATGCAATTGAGAACAGCATTCCAGGCTTGAGGGACTGCCGGGGAAAATGTTCAGATTCAGGCAAGGAACATGGAGGAAGCCGGTGTCACCAAATAAAAGAATGCATGGTGGCAGTGGCCAGGGAGGGGTAAGAAGACTGGGAAAGTGTGTGTTTGTAGGGGCAGGTTCTAAGAGGTTTTGAGCCTGGAGGTAATAGGGAGCCACTGGAGTTGATTGATGGGACGGAGGGGACATGATCAGCTTTGGGCTTTTGGGAGGTCAGCCTGGAGTAGGGAGGGAAGACCCAGCCCATAGAAACCATGTTGCGGTTGGCCCAGCAGTCCCCAAACCAGCCCTTCAAGAGGCTGTCCCATTTGCTTCTTTCAGAAAGCCCATCCAGAAGGACCTCCTCATATTGTCTTTTATCTTGTCCAGTAGACCGACTGCTTCTTGAAGGCAGGAATTACTCCATTTAGATTTCATATTCTCAGAGCCTCGAACGACAAACGGCATATTTAAAAATGCTTGTTGACCGATTCACACATTTTAAAAGTTTGGTATAAATGTCAACTCCTTTTTAATATTAGGAGTCAGATTCAAGATCCCCCTGCCCCCTTTTGCCTGAAGCTGGGCTGGTATTGCTCCAAAGATTCATAGAAATCGAATAGGAAGATAGTCAAGTGCCATCATAACTTGACTTGCCATGACACAGTTTCAGATAGGCCACAGGTTAAATTGTGTCCCTGAGGTGGAGCAGTGAGGGTATGGTAAAGCCCTAATATAATGTGGCTAACCAGTAATGCAACTGTTCGTCCCTATTCCCCCCAGCAGGGTATAATGAAGATGGGGTATCGGC